ACAGCAGTTTTCCCCCCGAAGTATTTTGGGAGCAGTGCAATACTAGGTTTATTAGACTCTTAAAAGATTATTATATTTGTGCCTTTTATCCCCTAGTCCTTCATATGGTCAGTATGTACTTGTTGAAAAATAACTGGTGCCTATGCAGAAAACATAAGGTACTGATGGTGGTGTGTGTTACACCTTGGGCTACTAACTAAAGTCAGCAGTTACATCCACCCAGCCACTCCCTAGGAATAAGGAGGCAATCCCTTGTAAAAATTTACTGCATAAAGCATCTTGGCAGCCTAATGGAGGGGCACTATCAATCAGGGCTTTCAGTTTTCTTTTATGGGGGGTTAGAGGAGTTTTTCAGAAAATATAAGCACTTATTTATTAGCTGGAAGGTCAGTAGTTCAAATGCAGAGGTGACTTGAAATAAAGGTATGATTATCTATTTCCAAAAAAGTCACAGCCACAAACCATAAGTAACACAGTTCTGTCTATGGCCATACCACCCTGTATGCACCAGACCTCATCTGATCTTAGTAGGAACACAATTCTTCTCTGAAATATATTAGGTTGCCATGAATTAGAATCAACGTGATGTCAACAGGTTTTATTAGATTCAGAATTTTTTTTTAAATTGAGATTTTCCACTCATTCATTGTTGCACATTTTCCTCCCCCCACCACAGTTCATTATTTTCTTTGGAAAAGAGTTCTTTCATCTTTATACAGTCCCCCATCCCCTCAGACCACTTTACTATTAAGCTCTTATTCTACACTCTTGTCATACCAGTAATATCTAATCATATATTCCTTTTGTACAGTTTTCTCCCTTGTCTGTTTCAGTGCCATGTACATTATTTATCCCCCCTTTTCTTAGTTTCCCCCTGACACTCCTGTCAGTCCTGTTTTATAACAGTGGCATTATGCAATCTTTTTGCCACTGAGATATATCATTTGGTATAATGTCCTCCGTCGTCACCCATTTTGTATAATATTTCATGAGTGCTTTCATGAGTGTTTCACTGCTGCATAATATCCTATTGTGTGAAATACCACAGCTTCTCTATCTATTTGTTTGTTGATGGGCACTTAGGTTGTTTCCAGCTGTTTGCTATGGTTGGTGAAAAAAGTAGCAGTATACATGGTGTGCATGTATCTGCTTGGGTGGAAGTTCTGGTCTCTTTAGTGTTTATTCCCAGTAATGGAATTGCTGGGTCAAATGGTATTTCTATTTACAACTTTTTGAGAAAGTACCATACTGTCTTTCATAGTGGTTGCACCATTTTACCCTCCCACCAATAGTGAATAAGGGTTGCAGTTTCTCCACAACCTCGCCAGCATTTGCTTTTTGCTGCTCTGTTGAAGTTTTCTATTCTTACTGGAGTGAGATGATATCTCATAGTTGTTTTGATTTGCATCTCTCTTAGAGCTGGGGATTTTGAACATTTTTCATGTGTTTGTTTGCCATCTGAATGTCTTCTTTGGTGAAGTGTCTGTTCATAGTACCCATTTTCCAGTTGGATTGTTTACCTTTATCTTGTTGTGGTGCTCAAGTATTCTAGAAATTCTAGGTATAAGTCCCGTATCTGACATGTCATTACCAAATATGTGGCTTCCTTTTTACCCTGTTGGAGAAGTTTTTGGTTGTGCATAGGGATTTGATTCTTAGAAGGTCCCATTCATCTTAGGTTTTCCAGGATGCTTGGAAGACTGTTCATGTTATAGATTAGTGCTTCTAGGGTTCTTCCAGGCTTTTCTCTAATGAAGTTTATAGTTCTTGGTTTTAGTCCTAGGTCCTTGATTTACTAAGTTAGTTTTTTTGCATGGTGTGAGGTATGGATCTTGTTTGAGTTTTCTGCAGATGATTTTCCAATTTTGCCAATATCATTTGTTAAAAAGGCAGTTATTCCCCACTTAACTGATTTCATCTTCTTAAAAATCAGTTGACCATAGGTAGATAGGCTGATTTCTAGATTCTCAATTCTATTCCATTGATATATGTGTCTGTCATTGTACCAATACCATGCTGTCTTGACCACCATAGCAGTGTAGTAGGATTTGAAATCAGGGAGTGAGATGTCTCCTACCTTCTTTCTTTATTTAGAGAGTGCCTTGCTTATTCGGGGCCTCTTTCCATTCCACATGAAATTGGAAATTGCCTTTTCCATCTCATTGAAGATTGAGATTTGTATTTATATTGGGATTGCTTTGAATGTGTAGTTTGCCTTTGGTAGTATTGTTATTTTCACAATATTGAGCGTCCTATTCAGGAGCAAGGTATATTCTTCCATTTCTCCAGGTGTTTTTGTTTCTTGTTGTAATGTTTTGTAATTTTCTTTGAATAGATCCTTTGTGTTTCTAGTTATATTTACTCCCAAGTATTTAATCTTGTAGTTAGCTATTATGTTAGGTATCATTTTTTCTTGGCTCCAGTTCTCTATTCTCTTTGTCACATTTAGAGAAATAAATTGATTTTTGTATGTTGATCTTGTATCCTGCCACTTTGCTGAATTGGTCAGCTATGTCCAGTAGTTTTCATGCTTGTGTCTTTAGGGTTTTCTAAGTATACTATCATATCATCGGCATATAGACATAATTTTGCCTCCTCTTTGCCAATTTAGATACCTTTTTTTTTTTCTTCTCTTATTGCTTTCACTAAGACTTCTAATACAATATTGAATAGGAGAGGTGATAGTGGGCATCCTTCCCTACTTCCTATTCTCAGAGGGAATGCTTTTAACTTCTCTCCATTAAAAACAAGATTGACTCTCAGGTTTGTGTGTATACTTTTTTACTATGTTGAGGAAATTCCCATCTATTCCTGTTTTGTTGAATATTTTAATCAGGAAAGGGTGTTGTATTTTGTCAAAGGCCTTTTCTGCATCAATTGATAGGATCTTGTGTTTCTTGTTCTTTGCTTTGTTAATGTGACAAATTATACTCATTGTTTTTTAATGTTGAACTATCCTTGCATACCTGTTAGGAATCCCACTTGGTCATGGTGAATTATTTTTTTGGATCATCGTTGGACTCTTTATTTGCCAGGATTTTATTCAGGATTTTTGCATCTATGTTCACGAGAGATCCTGGCCTATAGTTTTCTCTTTTGGTGGTGTCTTGACCTGGTTTTTATATCAAGGATCTGTTTGCTTCATAGAATGATTCTGGGAGAATTCCGTCTTCTGTTTTCTGAAATAGTTTATGTAGAATTGGTGACAGTTCTTTGAATATTTAATAAAATTCACTTGTAAAACCATCTGGTCTGGGGCTTTATTTAGCTGGAAGTTGTTTTATTACTATTCAATTTCTTCTTTTGTAATGGCCAGGTGTTCAATTTTAGTTTGTGTTAGTTTAGGTAGTTGGTGATTTTCTAAGTATTTGTCCATTTACTCTAGAGTTTCACATTTGTTTGAGTATAGTTTTTCTTAATATTCCATTGTTAACATTTTTATTTTAGTTGGTTCCATTGTGACATTGTCCATTTCATCTCTTATTCGGATTATTTTTGTCTTTTCCTTTTCTTTTGTTAGTTTTGGTAGTGGTTTGTTGATTTTATTGACCTTTTCTAAGAAACAACCCCTGGTTTGTTTTTTTGTTTTTGTTTTTTTTTTTGTTTTGTTTCAAGTGTTTTTCTGTTTTCTATTTCATTTATTTCTGCCCAAATTTTTATAATTTCAATTATTTTGGAGGGTGTTTTCTTGCTGTTCTCTTTCAGTTTGTTGGAGATGTTGGATTAGTCAATGGTCATTTTTTTCCTGCCTTTTAATGTGTTTGCTTATTGCTATAAATTGACCTCTGATTACTGCTATGCCTGTTTCCCAGAGGTTTTGGTAAGTGGTGTTTTAATTGTCATTTGTTTCAAGAAACTTTTTAATTTCATTTTTTATTTCTTCTCATACCCACTCATGTTTAAGCAAAGTGTTGTTCAGCCTCAAAATATATTTTTTTTCTTTATCCTTTTATTTTTAATTTCTAATTTTGTAGCATTGTGGTCTGAGAAGATGCTTTGTATCATTTCTATGCTGTTTAGTTTATTGATGCTTGCTTGTGTCCTAAAATTTGATCTATTATGGAGAACGTTCCATGCACATTGAAGAAGGTATACTGTTCTTTTTTTGGGTGCATTAGCCTATAATATCTATGAGATCAAGTTAATTTATTGTGTGGTTTCATTCTTCAGTGTCTTTGTTGAGGTTCTTTCTGAAAGAAAGAATGGTTTATTGAGAATGATTTATTGAGGCCTCCAACTACTGTAGTAGTGTTGTCTATTTCCTTTTTCAGTTTTGTTAATTTTTTTCTATATTTTGCAGGTCTTTCATTTGTTGCATATATATTATTTTTTTGTTATGTCTTCTTGTTCTATTGACCCCTTAATCATTATGTAGTAACCTTCCTTGTCTTTTATAATGGTTTTTGCATTGAAATATGTTTTATTAGAAATTAATATTGCCACTTATGCTTTTTCTTGTTGCCATTTCCTCAGTATATTTTTTCCCACCCTTTTATTTTTAGTCTTTATTTTCCTTTTTCAGCTGTGTCTCTTGGAGACAGCATATTGATGGATTTTGGGGAATTTTTTATCCAATCTGCTACTCTTTATCTCTTCAGTTGTGCATTTAAACCATTTACATTCAGTCTGATTATTGAGAGTCAAGGTTTTATTGCTATCATATATTTAGAATTCTTACTGAAATATTTGCTGTTGACTTTGGCATCTTGATGTCCAGAGTTGGCTTGCATTATCTGCCCAGAGACAAGGCTGGTAGGTTTTCAATGCAGGAACATTTTATTTTTTTTAAAATAGATTAAATGGCTGCATGTCTTTATTGAGGTTATTGGAAAGATTTATCAGCTGTGTAGCCCACCTTCACTGAATGAAGGATGAAAAAGTAGTAGTATCCTCCATTTTCTGACTTTTACAATTGTTCCTTCCCTAGAATATATCTTATTTTATTTTTGGTTATAACATTGTCAGATCTTTTCAAAGTTATTCTCTCTTTGTTTCAACAGTCAGTGATAGTAATTATGAAGGTGAAAGTCATCACAAGGAACCTGCAGAGAATGAAGAGCAGAAAGAACAGTTCTCAGGGTGTGATGACATGGATTGTTTGACAGACTCTGTACTCACTCCAGATTGGTGTAAAGAAGAAAGACTTCCTGCATCCATTCCACATGAAAGAAAACTGAGGAATCTTCTAGTTACCATTGAAAATGATACTCCCCTAGAGGAACTCTCAAAATATGTGGACATCAATGTTATTGCACTTACTCGAAATAGGAGAACACGAAGATGGTACACCTGTCCACTATGTGGGAAACAGTTTAATGAAAGTTCATACCTTATTTCCCATCAGAGGACTCACACTGGAGAAAAACCCTATGACTGCAGTCACTGTGGGAAAAGCTTCAACCATAAAACAAACCTTAATAAACATGAACGAATCCATACAGGAGAGAAACCTTATTCATGTTCTCAGTGTGGAAAAAATTTTCGTCAGAATTCTCATCGGAGTCGCCATGAAGGGATCCACATAAGGGAGAAGATATTCAAGTGTCCAGAATGTGGGAAAACCTTCTCAGGGAATGACGAATTTATACTTCATTTACAGAGTCATGAGGCTGAGAGGCCATACAGTTGCAAAAAATGTGGAAGAAGATTTAGTCGGATGTCAAATTGTACCCGGCATGAGAAAACCCACTCGGTATGTAAGATGCGAAAGCAGAAATGGAACTGGGAAAAGTCTCATGGTCCTGCTTCTACCTAAACTCTTTGATTTAGGATTTAGACTCTGAAAAGGTACAGGCTTGTGAAAACCTCATATAGCCAAAATTGGATAAAAATCCATCTTGGCTGAAAACCTCAAGGTATTAGTAAGTTCACAGGGAAGAGAACATCCTCAAGGGCTATACCTCAGTTTGCATCCAGGCTTTTTGGATTAACAAACTTTGTTTTGAGAAGTTGTACAACTGTGTGCAGATCTGTTTCCCAAGAAACACTGAACCAGAGTCCAGGTACTATTTAACAACAAGATGAACAGAATGGTCCATGCTTGCTCAGAATATATCCAGGAGTCTCTGCAGAGTGGAAATGATACAAAGGACATCATACTCCACTGAGGCAAAACAAACAAAAAAAACGCCCCAAACTGATTTGTTAAGCCAACAACAGTTGAAGCCTCAAGAACAACCTGTTAAAGCTTCTGTGCTTTAATTGATTTTGGATTATAGAAAATGCTGTAGCAACTGAATGTCTTAAGACTTACACCATCGTTTTTCATCCTAAACTGTCAATTTTAGTAACATTTGTGATGAAAATTGGCTGTTAGAGAATCCTTTAAGAACATATTTTTAACTTAAAGCTGTGTCTTATTCCACCATTATTCCTTCAGATGACTTTCAACTCTGAGCAGTGCTCCTCCCATGCAGAAGAAACTTTGACCGCTTAGCTTCAGTCACCTAGCCCCACTACGAGGTAATGTTCAGGACATTTTCTCTCTGCTGAACCAAGATCTTACCTGCTAAAGAGCATGAGGAAGAAAGGCAGATTTGAAGACAAGTTGGCCTGGATCCATGAATGATCAATAATTTCAACATATGCTTAGTCCTCCCTCTATACAGTTAATAGACTTTTAGCAATGGGCTGGTCACTACCTCACCAAGGCAATGTGTTTTATGTTTAGAAAGTTTCTCATGTTGCCCCTCATGAAATAAGATGCCATATGTTGTCATTGTAGTGGATATAGATTGTTGTCCCTGATGTCTTAATGCCCAGGCATCCTCCTCTACCCCTAGTATCCATCTACCCAGAGGCAAGGCCAACAATTATCTTCTCAGTGACAGTTATGAGACTTCTTAATCAGTTTTGTGTTTCAGTTTTCCCCAACTTTTACATTGAGCTTTGTTAGGAATCCACCATCTAGAAACACAAGCTTTCTCATTTGTTAATGCTCAATTTGTTCCTGAGTAAATAAGCCTCTACTATTGTGTTATTGTAAATAGTTTTTATCCATTATATTTTTCTAGTTGACCATGTAGCTAAGTTTTTAAAAGTTGTGTATTTGTGTAAGTAGCCACCCTATTGATATTACTGATTCTTTTATAGTTTTTTTTTCTGTTACAATTAATGTCAAATTATATCACCTATAAATAATTATTTTGCTTCTTTTCTATATAGTTTTTGCTTGTAGTTTTAATATATTGTTTTGAACTTGGTTATTGTTTTTGTACAGAGCATATTAAAAGAAGAATCAAAACAACCCAAAGAACCAAAACTCATTGCTGTTGAGTTGGAATGAACTCATAACTGACCCTTCAGCATTTTTTTGGTGTAAAGTACAGGGTAGGAAATTACCTATCTTTCTCCCTAGAGCAACTGGCTGGCTGATAAGAACTGTCTGCCTTTGGGTTGGCAGCACAACTCCTTACCCACTAGACCTGACTGTTAAAAAAAATTTAATACAAGTCTGTACTGATTCCTAATGTAAAACAGCAAAGCCCTGAAAATACTATTAAAAAAACCTGTCCTTCAGTGATGTCATATTTCAAACCCATAGAACCTTTTAAAACTAGGGGAGGGGTGTGAAATCAGAATTCCATCAACATTATTCTTTTGAGACCTGGCAGTGCAGTAGGAACTAGGACAGGGTTGAAGTTGTTTGTGTTAAGAGGGCTAAGCACTCTTTGACCTGCAAATCATCTGTCCACGTGGAGTCATGGGGTGTGATTTCTATGTCCATTTCCCAAGGGTTGGGGGTGTGGCCCCATACTCCTAAGGTACTGATTATAAGGATGTGTAGTTCCCAGGCTGCCTTTCCACACTGGAGATCTGCTTGGTCTGTGGCCAGGTATCTCTTGTTCCTGGGCCTGCAGTGAAGGGCAGTAGGATACATAGTCTATATGGTTAAGGTTCCTGGCCCTTACCTGACACCTACTTTCCCCAAAGGTGGAGTGAAGCCTGGTCAGCCTGATTTCTCCACATCTGACCCAGACCAGTTGCAGATCCCCAAGACGCTCTACTGAAGTAGAATCTAGATTTGAAGGGACAGCTTTCTCATTTTGGAACCCCTACCTAGAAGCATTCTAGGAATTGCAGGATCAAGGAAAATGTCTGGGATGGTGGGCCCATCCCTTGATGAAAATTCTTGGTGAGTGTGCATGCAGTGAGAGGCCTGAGAACCAATAAAGGGGCAAATAAACGCAACATAGTTGTCACAGCAGCAGGGCCAGGTATGGAAATGAAGAGCCAGTGTTCAGATTCTACTCGCAGTTACATATGGAAAGTATTTCTTCAGTGAAGACAAGGTGTCTTATTCACTCAGTTTTTTAAAAAAAATATATTTTGAATAAAACATGTAATAAAGCACAAAGCACTTGGTTGAAAGGTAAGTAACACTGCCCATTCTTTGATGGAGTTTCCCTTGGGAAAGGGAGAAAGGAGCGGGGAGGATGGAAATTGGTGTCATATATGTATATATACATAAGGGCTAGGAAGGCAGAAGGCTCCACTTGTTGGAGAGTATTCTGAAGAGACCTTTTGTTGGCTTCCAACTCATTAACCTTTTGTGTAACAGAGTGAAATATTTGGCCACCTGCAGTCCTGAAAATAATTGCTGTATTTGAGTCCACTGTTGCAGTCATTAGGTCAGTTCAGTGGACTGGCCAAGTAAGCTTTGACAAATTAAAAAAAAAAAAAAAAAAAAACAAACCTAAAACTAAGTAATAAAAAGAATCAACTATAAAACATCTTCTCAGACCACAATGCTATGAAGTTAGAGATCATTAACAGGATAAAGGAGAAAAAAAATTGTACTTAGAGGTTAAATTTATCGCTTTTTTAAGGTGGAATTTTTTTTATTTTTAACAACAAAAATTGGATTATGTGTAATTTACACAGAAGCGGTTCTACCTACCACCCCTGTCTGTGCATGGACCCAAGTGGGGGGATGGGGCCCTTCTGCTTAGGGCAAGGGAGAGGCTTTTGGAAGGCAGGAGCTTCCTGTCATATCGCCATGTTGTGATTATTTAGGATGACTGTTTAAAAGAAGAAAGAACAGTGTGCAATCAAAGTCCTGGGTCACATTTGAGAACTGGGGGGATTCTCCACACCAAACTGTTGTCACCCTCACTGCTCCACTTTTTAAATCCTGAATCAAGTGCAAAAACCCAACAACAACAACAAAAGTAACAAAGCCATGCCAGTCCTCATCTTTTCTCTCTCTTTTTTTTCTGTGCAAGTTGTTTTCTTATTAATAAAGGGTGTGATGCCTGGGTACAGGGTGGTCCCACCAGACAGCACTGTGTTGGTGTAGAGGTCCTTGTAGATGTCATACTTCCTGATGAAGGTAGTTGTGTGGATGCCACAAGACTCCATGCCCAGGAAGGAGGGCTGAAAAAAGTGCCTTGGGGCAGTGGAAACACTCATTGCTGATTGTGATGATCTGTTCATTGGGCAGGTAGTAGCTTTTTTTTTTAGTAGCACTTTTTTCAAGGAGGATGAGGAGGCCACTGTGGCCATCTTCTGCTTGAAGTAGAAGGCAACATAACAGAGTTTCTCCTTGATGTCATGCACAATTCCCCACTCAGCCAGGTCCAGATGCAGGATGGCATGGGCAAGGGCATTCCCCTTGTAGATGGGCATGGTATGGGTGACCCCATCACAGGGATTCATCACAATGCCAGTGGTCTTACCAGAGGATCCAGGGAACAGCACAGCCTGGATGGTGATGTACGTGGCAGGAATGTTGAAGATCTTGAACATTATCTGCATCATCTTTTGGTTTGCCTCTGTTCAGGGAGGCTCAGCACAGGGTGCTCTTCAGGGGCCACACGCAGCTCATTGTAGAAGGTGTGGTGCCAGATCTTCTCCATGTCGTCCCAGTTGGTGACAATGCTGTGCTCAATGGGGTACTTTGGGCTTTGTCACCCACGTATGAGTCCTTGTGGCCCACGCCCACCATCACACCCTGATGCCGAGGGCACACCACAGTGGAGGGGAAGACAGCTTGACAGGCATTGTCACCTGCAAAGCCATCTGTGCATATGCTATTATTGACCACGAGCACAGTGATGTCATCCATGATGAGCTGGGGGTGGTGGGAGTGAACTGATAATGGTGACTGTGGAGGGCCCTGTGCTCCTGGGCGAAAGAGGTCATGGTTGTAATTTATTGCAATTTTTAAAGGTCTGATTTATCACTATTGAGTGATATAAGAAAGAAAAGTTTCTTGACAAAAATGAGAAGGAAATACAATATAGCAAACCCTCTGGGATACAGCAAAAGCAGTTCTCAAAGGTCAGTTCATAACAGCAAACTTCAAAAAGGAAGAAAGAGCTAAATTACTTAAATCAGCATCTCCAACAAACTAAGATCCATCTGACATTGGCTACGTTGTCCCTGGTGTCACAGCCTCTTCTAAACCCAGCGAGCACTTCTGGCATTTTCTCTGTCAATGTTCAGTAGTTTTTAGAGTCTTCAGCAGGATCTTGCTTGCATGACATATTAGTGATACTGTTTTATAATTTCCATACTCTTGTTGGATCACCCTTTTTTTTAAATGGAAACAAATATGGGTCTCTTCCAGTCACTATTTGAATTAATACCCACATATGCAAAATTCAATTAAGCAGATCAAGCATAAAAATGTTGTAATTAAAGTTAAAACCCTAAATTTCTTAGAAAATACAGGAGTAGTTATAGGTCCTACTTTAATGCTAGATTGGCTTGGCAGCAGGTGTCTGTGAGATGGGGCATAATGGGGGGGAGTGG